GGGGTTGGGTGGGGGTGCGGCAGGTTCTTCAGCTCACCAGGCCCCTGCATGTTCAAATCTTGCCACCAGGGGGGGTACGAGAGCCAAAGTGGACCCTCATCCTGAACCTGGGGTTTTCCAGAAACACAACAGGGATGCCCTGAGGGAAGGGAGGAAAGGTTTTCCCACTCCAGCACCACAAAGCCTGGAAGGCTTCATGCCTCCACGTGATCTCTGACTCAGGGGCTTACCCAGATTTTCCCCATCCAGCTAAAGCAAACCATATTTTTTCCATCTCTCTTTTTCCTGGTTGCCTGTAATTAAACGCCTATAACAAACACACTTTGGACCAGAGGCTTATTGCACCACAGAATGTCAGAACGGAAGGATATCTAATCCAAAAAGCTCGTTGTCCAGATGAGGAGATTGAGACTCAGAGAGAGTAAGTTACTTGTCCAAAATAAACCAAAAGTCACACTAAGACTAGAACTCAGATCTCCTCACTCACGCCATAAAGACCCCCTTGAATGAATGTAATTTGCTGCTTAACGATAGCCTCCCATTGCTTCTTGAGTGTAAATGATAATAACAACAACAACGATAACAACAGCCAACATTCCTTGAGCGTTTCTGGGGCAGGGACTCTAAGCCCTTTTGTGGATTACCGTATTCAATAGTCCCAGTTACCCTCAGAGAGTAGTTTCTGTTATAAACGTAAACATTCACTAAACTCCCCCCAATGGTGCTGGTTAATGGGATGAGAGATTAGAATATAAAAAGATAAAATCTTTTCTTTCCTTAGACCTGTTCTCCCAAGATGGGTGAACTCCGCCTGTCAAGCACAATGGGGCATTGTCTACTCTTCGGCCTTCCACAGTGTGTCACATACTTCTGTTCCCCAACCATCCTCAGTGGTCACTGGATTCAAGTGAGTGACTGAGGTAAAGCATGACCAAAATTCCTCTGCTTGGATGCTCTTGGCATTGGGCAACATTTAAGGGAACCCCATTTTATCTGCTTCTCCATTTTCTCTGCTTCTCCTTCCTCCTGCTCACTGCCCAGTCTCACCCACTACTGGCAGTTTTCCAGCACAGCCAGCTGCCTGTGGTTTCATGCTCCGCGCCTTTGCGCATACAGCTCCCTCTGCCTCGAATTCCTTCCTGGCCTTATCTGCTGATCTGCCTTCTAAAGTCAATTGCTGCTGTGTCCCCTGCACTGGGAAGCCTGTCGCCTGACTCAGGCAGAATGGGGGATGCACCCTGTGCCTCTCCTTGTTCTTAGACCACATCTCCCCCACCCCCGGCAAAGAGTTCAGGGGTTTGTGTTCATCTACCCTATACTGATGACAGCCTTCCACGTGGAGTAGAGCTGATTTTATCTCAGCATAAGGTACAGTACAACACATGGCCGGCTCTCAAGAAACATTAGAAGAAGCACAAATGAACAGAGTCCTCCGTAATCTGGCTCTGACTCCCATCTCTCCCTCAACAGCCCCCCCCCACCTTGTCCCATCTTCTGGTTTTGTGGCACTCTCTCCAGTCTCACCCAAGTGCCTCACTGTTTTTCGCTTTTCTTTGTCTCTCACCTAAACTACTCAGCAGCCCCTTTGATCCCCTGCTGCTTCCTTCGCATCACCAGGTTGCAGGTCCCCAAATACAACACCTCAATTTTCAGTCTGATTCCCCAAAGCTCTGAGCCAAGGCCTGGACAAACAAACAATGGTCCTTACCATCAAGGGGCCAACTGCCTGCCCTTCCCCGCTCAACTACCTAAGGTAAAGGTTGAACTAAATCACACCGACCATTGAAGCCTTTAGAATGCTAAGTCCCGGAAGAGGAGGCTCCTCCTCACCCCACCCCTAGCTATGTCCCCACCTTTGTCTCCCCACATACTTCCCCACACTGCGAGCTCTGGCTCTGACCCCAGACAGCCCAAGCCCCAGATTTACCCATGATTCTCTGGTGACTGCAACAACTTTCCCTGTGGTTCTGGGTTCTACAGCACTGCTTCCAAGTCTAGTCAGAGCCCCCCTCTTTGAACTCCCTTAGCAACCCCCCCCCGCCACACACACACACACACACACACACACACACACACACACACACACACACACACACACACACACATACACAGAGCATTCTAATCCCCTTGTCAGGATGCCGGAATACCTCCCCAAGTAAACTCAGAGCTCCTGGAAGGCAAAAACAGGATCAGCTCCTTCTTGTTGCTAATGACAAACCCTCATAAGTAGATAGTGAAAAATGTTTTCTAATGAATGGATTCGTGAGATAAACCTAACAATGACAATAAACAGCTAAATGCTAATACTGGCTGTTTCTGGTGGGTGAAATTTTGAGTTACCGTCTTTTTGCTTGTTGATATATTATGTTTCTGTAATGACTATATTTTGCTTTTGTAATAAAAGAACACTAAAGGAAACTTCATTTTGAAAAAGTACAAAGGGGTTTTGGGACTTAAAAAAAAAAGTGAATCTTCTTATTCTTTGGTGAGAAACAGGAAAGAAATGTTTTAAGGAAGCACAGAATTTCTACAAGTAGAGAGAAGACGGCCAGCCGGTCCGAGGGCACACACATGGCACACGCGGAGCTGGGCGGGTGCAAGGTGTGGGGAGATGGGTAGGGCAGAGTGGTTCCTTACGAATGCAAGATAAGGAATTTCGACGTAGGTCATTGAAGGTGGGGAGCTCCATACCGCTTTTGAGCGAAGGAGAAACAGGCTCAGAACTAGGCATCCGGAGCTTCAAAGAGGTAGCAGTGAGCCAGGGAGTGTGGCGTGGAGTGGAGGGAAGAACGGAAACCTGGCAACAAACTCCCTCTTCCCTTCTCGGGGCCTCTGAACCGCAAGTGCAGGAACGCTCCCGGACTGCCCAACTCTCAGCCATATTACTATTCGATGATCAGCATTTGAGAATTACTCCGGTAAGCCACCGACCTATCTTCCCACCCGGACTGCAAACTTCTAATTCCTCCTCCTCCACATGAGGTGCCAAATACGAGCATGCTCGATGAGTGAAGGTTTGCAAGGAGCCGCCCCCGGGAAAAATAAAGCCAGGCGGCTTCCCTTCAAATTGAGGCCGAAGCAAGAAGTGCCCTCCTGATGCAGGCAGCCAGCCTTGGGTAAGGGGAACTCGACCGCGATGACCTGACCCGGCGAAGGTCTCCCGAAGCAGAGGGCTCGGGCGGGAAGCCCAGAATCTACGAGGCGCGAACAGGCACGGCGAGGTTTCCATATAACTACCAGGTAAAAGCAACAGGAGGTGGCGGTCTGGAAAGACCGCCGGACGGTTGAGAGTAAAGGGGGAGGATAGCTTAAGGAGGTTCCCCCCAACTTGGTGGAGAGCAGGCTGAGCCAGAGACAGTGGGGGGAAAGAGGGAAGGGCAAGGCTTGGGGGCGGC